GAGCCACCCATGTGCCCCCTGCTTTAAGGTTTTCTAAAGAAAAGCTAATAGATGATGAAACTAAATTATCACAGTTATGCATATTTTCAAAAATCTTTAACACTTAGAAGTTGATAGTAGGGCATAAATAATACTGAGAAGATTCAAAATACTAGCTTTACAGAAAAACCAGACTATAAAGGCAAGGCCTTTGCCTTATACCTCTCATATTCTTTTATTCAATCATTAATTCAACAGTTACTGAATACCTAGTATATGTTGGTGAATTGATATTTCATCAAAGATAGACTTTTTAAAAAGTCTGTTGCTATGCTTTAGTTATTCTTGTCTGAGCTTTTCCTTATTACTCACTATAAAAAAAAAAAATCTCCTCTGCTAGACCAAGTTTATTAGGCATGTGTTCTATTCCCATACAACTGCAAACAACAATGTCACTATGCTTTTTGCTACTGTATAACAAGGATGCCCCATCCTCCAGCTTTCTGTAACATGGATCTCCGTTCTTTTCCCTCTCACTAGCAGTGTCATCAGAGTACAGATTTCTCCTAACAATCTGTTCATGGCAATTTAGGCTTTCTTTAATTAGTATGCTCCTCAAAAATCCTTCCAGCTTTTGCCTATTACCTGGTTCCAAAGCCACACTCCTATTTTTTAGTATTTGTTATGGAAGCACCCAATTGCAAGATACCAAAATCTGTTATGAAGTAACATTGTCAATATTTGCAGAAGATGACTGCCTACTCATAATATTCAAGTGAATCTATAAACTATTCCAAAAGTTGCTGGTTATAAGATCAATATACAAAAATCAATAGCAGCCCCTTGTTCTAGCTACAACCCATGTTAAAATGTAATAATAGACACATCTATTATGGTATTTAACTTATTATATTGTAATTATCTGCTTTACCTATGTCTCCTCCATAGATGCAAAGTTCCTCAAGGGAAGAGAGTATCTGATTTATATTTGTAACCCCAATATCTAGCATATACCCATGTGTTCAATGAACATTTATTGAATGAATTATCAATCATCACTGGATCCTTAGTATCATTCACAGACACTTCCCCTTTAGAAAAGAATTAAAATTTAGTTGCACATTTTAAAAACTATTATAGTAATTCCAGATTTTTAGTCATCAAAGCGAAAAGTCCCAGGCCCAAATGAGGAAATGCCATTCTTCACTTTTCACTTGTTTAGACTAGTAAAGATTTAAATGTTTGGTAATACACAGTGTTGTCAAGGGTAAAGGTGAACTCACCGGTGTATTCTTTTAACTGCTGACTGACTGAAGTAAAAGATGGCATATCCCTCTTGGGAGAACAATCTAATAATATCTAATACAATTTAACATGCCTCAACTAAGCGAGTCTGTATCTTGGAATTTATTCTACAGATATTTACAAATGTTTGCAAAGCTTATATACAAGATTATGTACATAGCACTGTTAGCAATAGAAGAATGGAACTTAAATTCATCAACAGAGAATTATTTAAATAAATTATGGCACATCCATATAATGAAATCTTATGCAGTTGTTAGAATAGCATATAATTGCACATAGACTGATCTCTAAGATGTATTAAGTGGAAAAAGCAGAGTGTCCCCATGTTTATTACTTCAGTAGAAATATTTGGGGAGGATACCAGGACAGTATTGTCTCTGAGTACAGGGACTGAGCACCTCAAAGGACAACCTAATATTCTCTACATATCCCTTTGTATTTTATGTATTTTATTGACATTAAAACTGAAATATTTTGTCCATAAAATCCTTCATTTATTCTTTATTTACTAAAAAAGATAAGTTTTTAAAAATGAGACTGACATCACCATTTCTAGAACTTCTCAATTACAGGGTATTTCTCCGTCTTATGTCTACTGTTAGGAATAATTCTGTACCTCAGGTTCTTAAATAGTACTTTAAAGACTAATGGGTGGCACAAATATTTTATAGAACATATTTTACTTAATTTTTTATTAAATGTTGTCTATTATTCAGAGACTTGGGCACTAAGCCCTAGGTAAGTGTCCAGAAAATTATATTGTAGTGATCGAAGTGAATGGCTGGCAAGAACTTGGCAGGTATTTTGCAACCAAGAGCTGCATAGAAATTAATGGTTGGGTTCAAATATGATGACTGAACACAGAACCAAAATGACTCAACAGCATGATTTTTAAAAATTAATATATTTTAGGTAGCAATAAGATGCAACTGTATAAATCAATCTTTAACAAATATTGCACACTTGAAAAATCTTAATAGCCTTTTATATTGTTTTACTATTATGGAGACAAAACTTTCTGACTGGAATGAAGAAATGCTGATTATGTAAAATAAGAACATTTTTTCTTTTTTAAAAAATCTAATTTTGGGGCAGCTGGGTGGCTCAGTCATTAAGCGTCTGCCTTCGGCTCAGGTCATGATCTCAGGGTCCTGGGATTGAGCCCCACATCGGGCTTCCTGCTCAGCGGGAGGCCTGCTTCTCCCTCTCCCACTCCCCCTGCTTGTGTTCCCTCTCTTGCTGTCTCTCTCTACCAAATAAATAAAATCTTTAAAAAAAAAGTTTAATTTTATTCTTAATTTTTTTGTTGAAGTACAGTTGACACACAATGTCACATTAGTTTCAGGTGTACAACATATTAATTCAACAATTCTATACCTTTATGCTACGTTTACCACAAGTGTGGCTACAATCTCTCAACAAATAACCCTATTATAATACCATTGACTATAATCCCTATGCTCTACCTTTCACAGCTGTGATTAATGCATTCCATAACTGGAAGCCTGTACCTCCCACTCCCCTTCACTCATTTTACTCCCCCTCCCCCCACCATCATCTCTTCTGGCAACCACCAGTTTGTTCTCTTAAAAAAAAAAAAGAATTTTTTGGCATTGCTGCAAATTCTGTCCTTATTGTGAATTAATTAAATGAGGGCTCTTCCAAGTTTAGAAATTTGAAAATTTATTAAAAGAAAAAAACCCCACAAATGTAGGCTTAATTTACTATTTAAAACTTTATTCTAAAAAGGTACAAAACTCCTATTTTACTGTTTATGGCTATTAAATGAAGCATGTAAGAAAGCTACAGAACACAGTTATAAAAACACGGGCTTTTCAGTCATACCAGAATTCAAATCCTAGTTCTTTCACTCGCTGTGTGAGAATGGGAAAGGTACTTCACCCCTCTGAGCCTTATTTTTTAAAGTATAAGATGGGAATAATATGGATTACATGTAACATTTTACAACGTTGTTATATTAATGGAAAAACTGTGTATAAAACCCTTAGCAGGGCACCTGGGGGGTTCAGTTGGTTAAGTGTCTGCCTTCAGCTCAGGCCATGATCTCAGGGTCCTGGGATCGAGCCCCGAGATGGGCTCCCTGCTCAGCGGGAAGCCTGTTTCTCCCTGTCCCTCTGCCCGCTTGTGCTCTTTCTCAAATAAAGTAAAATCTAAAAAAGTAAAACACTTAGCACAATACTGACCCATAGTAAGATTTTTAGGGCAGCTCTCACTATTATCATTACTCCTTAATTATCCAGCAGAGATGGGGAATAAAATGTACTACACATCTCTTTTGAGTTTTCCAGATAGAGCTTCATTTATTAGACAAATGCTTCTGTACATACCAAATTTAAAACACCACCATTTTGCAGTCCTGGGGCAGAGTAACACATTTCATTGCTACCTTAAGAGATGTCAATGAATATAAAATAACTTTATTGGTTCCTAGAAATAATAATTCTGTCTAGATTATCACATTTTATAGTCTCAATATGCTGAGTGTAGGCATAGTAAATTTGGAATATTGTATTCAGTTGCGAGTACAGTTGAAGAGACAATGCCAGTATGATAGGTATGACAAAAGAACAACCAGGAGAGTGAGGAACATGAAAACTACAACACGTAAAAAACAGTTTAAGAACCTGTCCTCTATTTCGTTTAGAGAAGATCTGAGGTAATAAAATATTTTCAAATATTTTAAGTGTCACGTGATGAAGTATATAAGTTAATTCTGTATTACATCAGAGAACAAAATTAGAAACAACAAATCTGTTGAATTACTTAGATTAAACATTAATATAAAGAACTTTCTGGGGCACCTGGGTGGCTCAGTCGGTTAAGTGCCTGCCTTCGGCTCAGGCCGTGATCCCGGGGTGCTGGGATGGAGCCCCGCCTCGGGCTCCCGCCTCAGCAGGGGGTCTGCTGCTCCCTCTCCCTCTGCTGCTCCCTCTGCCTGTGCTTGCTCTCTCTCTCTCTCAAATAAATAAGATCTTTAAAAGAAATAAAGAACTTTCTAATAAATCACAGTACTTTCAATGACAATGCATAGTTTTGTGAAGTAGTGAGCCTTTTAAATTATATAATATGTATTCAAATTGTGTTTGATACTGTCAACAATGATGGAAAAGTGATTTATGGCTAGTTGGGAACTTTGACTACGTAACTGCCGAGGCTTATTTCAGTTCCAGATTCTATGATCTAAACTAAACAATAAGGCAAATTGGATTATGTACATATAATTAAATCAGAACTATTGGCACTTAAACATGAAAAAAAAGTATGCTTTATCCGTCTGTTACTTTTCTTTCAATAAGAAGAAAATAATAATAAAAATGTATGATATATGTACAATGGACTAATTGGTACATCAACTTCTCAAATTAATCACTATAATAATCCCACTATAAACACAGAGATTTAAAAAAAATCAATTGGCATTAATTTCAACCTTTTTAAAAAGAAATGGAGGAAAATGCACTGTGAACATTTTTAAATTACCAGAGTTATATTTTCAGATATACTTGCTTCATTTATTTCAAGTTCAAATCAACATTTGAATTCAAATTAAAACTTAAGGTATTTCCTTTCTAATTTACCTTAACTCTTACAGAAAGTTATATATTTAATATCAGAATAGGTAAACCCATGAAATCATTATGCACAATAGAAAACTCTGATCAGGGAGAACAAAATGTGTATGCTATACGAACCAATTAGAAGAACTGTTCCAACAGCCAAACCTCCACCTGGAAATGAAACAAAACCAAGAAGAAAATTAATCTACCCTTTCATACACATTAACTTTAGCATAAAAGTTAAGCTTTATCAAGGACAGCAACTTGACTAACTTTAAAATTGCAGATGAGAACAACATTTTAATTACCTTTGCAATACTTTGCTTAAGGTGCTATTATGAAATAATTACATATTATATGTAATTATACACTACACATGTAGTGTATAATTACTTTCATAATATACTGTACTATCCTCCCTTCTCCTGTGATAGGACCATGCAGCATTCAACATAACTGTGGTTACGTGTTCTAATAATGTTATATTTAGTACTTGTTAATAAATTAACTCAATAGCCAAGACCTAAATGTTCACAGTAACTTAATACTACAGAAGTACAACATAGGAAAGGTTATTATAATAGAAATTCCACTTTAATATTTAAACTCAAATTTAATAAGTCTTGGGGGAAGAAAAACCTGATAATTAAAAGTAATTTTTTTTTCAATATAATATACACAAAGATTGGACATATTGTTAAATACATTTAGAATTTAAAATAAACAATATTTTCATAATTTCAAACAAAAAAGTCACAATCACAAAATACATTTTTAATAGCAGAAAATGTTCTTTTGAATATCTGAATTAGGACAATACAGTTATGAGCATATAACTCAAATAGTGGTTCAATAAAAATCAATTTAAAATCAAATTGTAGAAAACGAGAACTACACTAAAAAGACATTTGAGTACAAATATTTTGTGCAACATTTGTAAAAATATTTGTCAAAGTATTACTATTGTTATAAATTATACTAGCAAATTCACTTAAAAAAGAATAAAATATGTATATCAAAGAATGAAATGTATTTAAAGTAATTTAAAAAGAAAGTACTCAAAATTGTTTGACAATTGAAGACAATTCTACCAGTGTTTTTTGGTTTTGGTGCATAAAACTGTGAAAGAAACATTTAGAATACCAATAAAGAACTTTTCCTCCAACAAATTCTGTAGTGGCAAACATTATATGGAAAACTTAAGTATGAAAAGTTCCTTTGATAGTGTTTACTTTTGCCCTGCAAATATGCATGTTATCTTTCAAAGAGTTTGAAATTTGATAACATACATGAACACAGAATACAATGCAACATTTGGTGACTTTATGACTCTAAATAGAATATTTCAAATTATTAGAGAAGATTTTAAAAGGAAACTAGTACTTTATGTATTTTTATGTTTAGGTGGATTTGTTATAGGACTAAATATATATTTTAATTTCACATTTAGATAGGTTCTTTCAATATAGCATTTAAAGCCATACCAGGCTATACAGGATAACTTCAAATTTTGTTCTAACTAAAAGATTCACATAAACTGAAATATATAGGATGATAACAACCATAAAGGATCTGAGCAAAAAGATTTTCTCTGAGATTAGGTTAAATGTCTACTTTTATAGTTTGTGCTACGTATAGACCACTACTAATTTTTTAATCCATTTTGAGCACTTTATTTTTTTATTAATGCATTTTGAGCCTTTTTAAAATTACTTTCCAGTTCCTTATTTCTCTCTTACATGCAAAAACAAGCATTTAAATACCTGATCACCATTCTGCATATATTTAAGACAAACTAATAGATGTACATAACAGATACTGCAGTGTCTAGAGCAGGTACTATTAAAAAGTTACCTGGTTTTCTTTCCTTAACCTATTTCTTATAGGAAAGATTTAGATTTCTTATCTAAACATCTCTGGGTCTACATTCATGTAGCCTGAAATTAAGAATTTATATAAGGCCTACAACTGGAATAGTTACAGATTTTTTTTGTGAATGTCATTCACAGTGGGACTTTAAGAACAGATCCAGGAATCGTTTCCCAATTAAAGGAAATGATACCTAGCTCACGTGTCTGGCTCAGAGAGGTACTCAGTAAGTGCTGTTACCATTCTGGCTTATTTTTCATTAAAGATATACCATTATTTGATAAATAGGGATCACTATAATAGTAAGAATTAGTAAGAATACTTCCCATTGACGAACTAGTTAAGCAAAGCATTATACAAATGAGAGAAGACTAAAAAGGTAATTTTCTGTCAGAATTATACAAATAATCCAGTTTCAGATAATTCAGGAAATGCCACCTAATTAAATTTTAAATCTTATGTACATTAAATTTCTAATGTTTGGAAAATTTGAACATTACTTAAAACAAATGAGGACATTTTAATGACTTTAATCAGACATCTGAATATTCTATCAGGACTTCTCTTACAAAAAGGCAATTATCTTTTTTTCTAAAGGGCTCTATCATGTAAATTCACTAGACTTAAATTTGGATGGCTTAAATAAAGGTTGGTCATTTATTGAAGGTTGGTCATGGGGAATAAGATGAAGCCACCTGATTAACTATTTTAAAAATCAAACTTTTATTCTGTGTATGAGGGAAAATGATTTGACATGTACATATATACACATATATAGCAGCAAAGTTCCTCTATTCTTCCAAATTTCAGGGTGACGAGACCTCACATTTCCCTAAAATAACTCTGTATAAGGTATTTTGATATATCTCACGTGATATACTGAGGTTCTAACTGTAAGTAAGTTTGAATGTTTGTAGCCATGTACTCATCAAAAAATAAAAAGCTTCAGCAACCAACCATGACAGGATATCTTGACATGATACATTCAACCAAAGCTCACTTTAATAGATCTTTAAATTCAGAAATCCATTAGTAATTTTATTTAATTTCAAAAGCAACATAGAGTTCCAATTAATAGTTCCCAATTAAAATAGACTATCTTTTCCCATTAGTTCACTAAAATGTTTGGCAGGTTAACAGGTAAGGAAGCAATCATCCTATTTCTGTGATAAAACATAAGGAGTAAAATGGTCTTATTTACGGTCTCCTCTCCTCTTTAATCAGATCTTAGGGAAATCATTAATACATTTAAGTCACTAAGCAAATAAACTCTTGGTTTTACTTATAGATCTCCTTAAGAAGTCTATCTCCAGCTTACTAAAAATACAGGTAGAATAGTTTACCAACATACAAGATTATGAGTTTGAAAGCTTGAAGATTCTTTGCAAGTTTGATATTTTAAAGTCTTAATTTCATCAAAATTTAACATTTTAAGAAATAACACTGCATTTTGTCTTAAACTAGAAAAAAAAAATCTAATACTTTAGAAAACATTACCAGAAATTAAGATCTTATTAGGTGACAATTATCTTCTGATTTTAGGGTTTTTAAAATATGATGGAAAGGGTTATTTTATTCATGTGAATAGTAACAAAATGATTTTTTAAATTAAAAAAAAATTTTTTTTTTTTAATAGGTTCCATGCCCAATGTGGCGCTTGAGCCCACGACTCTGAGATGAAGAGTCACATACTCTACCAACTGAGCCAGCCAGGAGCCCCAGAAAATTATATTAAAGGGAGAAAATTCAATCCCCATACACTTCCCAAAGGAAATCTCTAATTAAGCTATTAATTACTTTTGGGTAAGCAAGGTCAAATTAATATATTAGGATATAATGACCCAGAAGTGATACCTTACTTTGTAAGGGCCTCTCCTTTTTCAAAGTTACAGGAAGCAAAAGGGAAAAGAAATAAAAGTCATAAAAGATAACAGTGATTTATAACATTCCTTTCTATAAAGGAATACTTTTGTATAAAATTATAGAAGGTCATTTTAGGGAAAATGCAATGTACAAAAAGTTCATATCCCTTCCTTTGTTCATAGCAATGTCCTGAACTACTTAATTAATGCCATACCTCAAATTAAATTGCAGTTTATTTCATTAACAAGCCTACTTTTTCTTCTCTCTCTGGGAGGTAGGAAACATCCTGACAACACCTGATTATCACAACTATTAACTGGGCAAATATAGGAAACAAAATAGAAAAAGCTATTAACAGTGAGAATGGTTCTGTAGATTAAATTACATCAATTTTATATATTGATACAAATAAGCTACATTTTCCTTAAATATATAGCCATCAGTTGCTAAACTATCATAATCATAAAAATAAGGATTACTTTTAATATATAGTCCAAACTCAACGTACATCCCACATTCTAATTAAGATACAGTGGAACAAAGGAAATAAGTCCACCAGTATTTACTTTTTGACATTAGCCTTGAAAATGGCAGCTACCATCAAGCTTCTTTGGAGTATTCTTCCTGGACTCTTCTTTATCCCAAATCCCTATCTTCCCATTCACTTGACTGTCAAAATTGAGTAAATTCCAAACAGCACATAAAATAAGCCAGTCAAACCTGAAGGATGAGGCTGGGGGAGAATTCCCCCAGATTAGACAATATGATCCTAAGATGAGTTACACCTTTTACCCTAGAAAAAAAGAAATTCTGCCAGAATCCCTTATTTACTGTAAACTTTTTGGCGATTCCTGGAAGAAGGGAACTGAAATATTTATATATAGCGTCCTCATATAACAACATAAATGTCCTGGAAGGACAGGGTTGAGAAGCTAGGTTAGAAAACTTACAAGTTGAAAAATTCCAATGTGGTCAACTTGGGAAATGTATATCAATATTTACTAAATTTAAGTTGTCAGAACAAAAGTTTTTGATATGATTAGATCATGTTTAAAAGATGCTGATATAGGGAATTGTCAAATTCATGAAGCACTTGGGAGTAGGAATGGAAATATAAGCATATCTTCAAATGACCAACATTCAATTTGCCTGTATAATATATTTAAAAATATACTTAAATATATTCTGAATCTATGCTTAAAATTACATTGACATCACAGTGGCAGTAGTAGAATATCACTGCAGTGCATGGCAGTGACATTACAATATTTACTTGTTTTACAGTAACCACAGAATAGATTTAGGCAACAATCACAATGTCATAGTATAGTCTCACCATTCTGATATCATAACATCCTATTATAATTATATCTTGTCACAATATGGTTATATTAGGCTTGTCACAATCTGAGTCCAATTTTTAGAATAACAATATAATCTGAATTACTTATATTTATGTGTATACACATTAGCAGCCAAATGTTTCACTTCCAAATAATGTTTTAATGAAAAACAAATGAACGGATTTGCTCTACAGAGCCATACAAAATAAAAAAATAATACAAAAATGCCATTAAGAACTTAACAACTAAAATACTTCTGGACATATTTATTATTCCAAATGTACTAACTCCTATTATAACAACCTCTTCTGCGCACTTTGAGAGTTAACTGTATACATGAAAAACATAGTTCAAAATATCCCCAAACTGATACCTATTCCAATTATCTTAAACGAACACCAATTTTTAGCATAAGCTTGTTACAGTCAAATACTAGTGTCCCTCACAAGCAAATTTGGAAGATTTTTATATTACAGTTCATGTTTATATCACTGTAGAAACACTTAAGGTGCTTTAGGTTAACTTTTTGGTGGGTGCTTTGACTCACTTAAATCATTAGTCTTAGGTTTGATAAATGCTTAAAGCCACTTCAAAAGAGTTCTCAAAAATTTGAAACAGCTGTAGCATAGTGCAGAATACTAAATTTGAAGCCTAAAGATCAGCCTACACTGTCTCTAGTTTTATGATTCTGTTCATGTCACGATATCTAAGTCTGTTTCTAGAGCTCACACATAAGTCATCCTACCCCTTTCAATATCTCTCGTTCAGGTTTTTTTCCCTACACATTTCTCTTCCAATCAAGAACTTAATGAGAATCAACTATGTGCCAGGAACTGTGCTAGGCAAATTTTGTTATTCTAATAAGAAACTGAAGATATAAATGTCAGAAATGTGACCTTTTTGTTTGAAGAGATTCAGGATCAAGTGAATGAAGTTACATATCCCCATTGAATTAGGGGGAAAAAAAACGGTAAGGACTAGGAACAGCTTCCAAACTTTAAGTTCAAATATAGGATGACACCAAGTAAAGCTCAACAGGGAAAAAAACTGGGATAAATATTTGTTAACTAGATATTTTGGATCATTTGTTTTCAGTACCATGCAATTTAGGAAAGCAAGACTTGAAACAATTAAGTGAAAATCCTTAAATTTGTGTAGAAATAACCAGGATCCAGTTAAGAACATGACATAACAGAGGCAAGAAGCTGTGCTCTTTCTCACAGGTTGCTTGCCTTGTCAATTTCCTTTCACTAAACCTATACGAAAAGTGTACCTTGAGGGGCAAAAATACAGAGAGAAATTTCAAGTGTAGTACAAGAACAAGCAATGGCATTTGTAATATTTTATGAAAGTGTACAAGACTTAACTGACACATATCACACACTATATAGAAGTTATGAAATATAAACATAGACCAATTTTAATGAAGCAACATTCTGATAGTAATTAACTAATTTACAAGCTCTATTCACACAGCAGCTCTGTCCTACCAATCTAATGTGGTCAATCTTTGCAACATAAGAGTTATGAAACAAGCTATTCTTCAGCAGGCTTCTCATGAAAAATTGCAAAGATTATACAGGAAAGCCTAAGAACTGGACTTCTTTTTTCTCATTAAAATGTGAATTAACTTTAAACATATCGTTTGCAATGTAACTCTAGGAGGCAAAATATACAGAGAAAAAATTAACAAAATATATACACATATATTTAACGCAGATACTAGTATGACCATCAGTATCAACAACAGTAACTACTTTGTACCCACATAATTCTTTAACATCCATTCTCTTAAAGCCAAGAGTTTGTTTGAAGATTCAGAACCAGGAAATAAGCAGCCTGGCGGTGAAAGTGGGGAAGTTATTTTTTTCAGCATTTTCTAATGAAGCCCATCTCTCACAATGACACAAACTTTCGTAGGTTAGGCGAAACCACAAGCTACCTGGGGTTGGCAGAAGGGTGCAATCAGAGACCAGGAGGTGATCCTGGAGTTGAAGGCCAAACCGTCTCCAAATATTAATGATTCCCCCTTACTAGGTAGTATTTCTAGATAAAACCATGTAGGGATCCCGTTGTAACCTAGAAAAGGCTGGTGGGCCAGAATCACAGTCGAAAGTGGGAGCAGTAACAGCATTTAGGAGTCTCCATGCAACCTTTCCTCCCCTCCATCTCTATCAGACCGGACTATCCTCTCCAAGTCCGAAGGCTGAGGGGTCAGAGAGAAATATGAGGTTAGGGTGGCTTTCCTGGCAGGTGCCCTCCCTCAGTTTTCCCTCTGTTGAGCCCACATCTCCGTTCTGAACCGACCTAGGAGCTGGTCCAGGGCTGGGAGCCCGGTAGATACCAGCAGCTGTCCATTCCGCACCGACGGTCGTGTGCCCGCGATGGACACCAGTCGAGAACAGCCGCTGTCGGTACCGCTTGCTCTAGGACCCTTCCTCTGGAAACTGGTGACGTTGTTCTCGCTGGTTGTAGCCACTACAGATCCAGTACTCCCAGCGCCGGTGCCACAGGTCGCCACTGCCGCCATCTTGGAGCTTCCCGCGTTGACCCAATAGGAACTCTGGGAACTCAAGCAGCAGGCCTGTCAGAGCCAGCCCCAAACACCCGCCTCCTTGCCTACGATCACCGCTCCCGTGGCCAATAGGATTGAGAGCTCTCCTCCTAGTCAACCAATCGCAAGGAGTATTGCTGAAAAGTGCGCTATACGTGGGGACGGCGGACTTCTGCTGGGCCCAGGTGAGAAAGGCCCACCTGAGTCCTGGGTGAGAGTGTTGCTTGGTTCTTTGGGGCTAGAGGTGGGTAATATCATTTAACATTTTTCTCGTTTTGGGTGTCTTCATTCACGCAGAGTTAAAGAAGAGGCTAGTGGAGCGATATATCCAGTAACTACCAATGGGAACTTGCACCTTTCTTCGCTCCTTAGGAAAAAGGAAAGATACTTTCCCCCGCCCCTTTTCTGATTTCTGAGAGAAAATTCATTCCGCCTTTACCATCAGGTTTTTGTTTGTTTGTTTTGTTTTTTGTTTTTCTCGGAATGGTTGTGTTATATTGAAGAAATTGGAACTCTTATTAAGAGTTGCTTGCTGAGCATCTCACAGTTCGACAGTTCAGTGGCAGGCAGGTGGGTTGGATTTAGACCTTAAGAGGGAAAACTTGAGCTTTGAGGCGATTTGGTTTTCCTGTCTCAAACAGCAAATGACAAAATGTACTTCTTTGACAAGTCCCCGTGAGAAGCTTTCGTTAATTTTAATTAGTGCTTCTGGAAGTCTTGGGGCGCGTTTCCATAAGTAGTGTGAATGACAAGTGTTACTCTGACAACCTTGTTCACACATTTAATTGTCATTTGCTGTTAAGGCAGCTGCAAAGAACAGAAAATACTTTAGGTCTCTTTCCCGCAAAAAACTGGTATTAGATGTGTATGTACTTTATTTTCCTAGTGATTTGTGAACTCTGAATTGAGAGCTTTTTTATTAGCATAGGAATTTTATGTGCGGAAAAAACATGTCATTTAGAGCTGTGTCTTTGGATTTAAAACTTTTTTAAAAAGTGAGCTGTGTGGAGGAGTGATTTTTAAAAGTATTCATGATTGACAAATGTCTAAAAACTCCCAAATCATGCCTGCGCTACTGAATTACTGGTTTTGACAGTGATCTATGATATTTTAAAAATATATCTATCCAAACCTCATTGAAATTCTTGCCAGTGAATTGTTTTAAATCTCAGTGACTTGTTAAAACTTTTTGGCTGATTCTGTTTGATAAATTGCAATTCGTTTTGTGAAATAGTGGCTGGTGGGTTTTGTTTTTGTATTTAAAGTAAAACTTAAGAAAATAAGACAAACCACCTTACTATTTAGCAATGTACCAACTGGAAAGCTTGATCAGGGTTTATATGCTTTCATTTAGAACCTTTCCTCAGTATAAATTTGTAATCTAAATTATTCAATAAATAGCTGTTGAGTGCTTACTGTCTGCTTAGACCTAATGTGTCACTTTAGGCCTATAAAGTAAAAAATGTTCTCATTTGGGGGAGATAAGATTAACACATAGAAAACAGCATAGCGCTTAAAGTGAACACATTGGACAGTATGCGCTAATTTTTTCCTGCAGTGTATAAGTGCTGAGAAGATCAAAACAAAAAGGGACAAAACAGTCTAATTTCAAATGGAAACTTCTTGGATATTTTTGCTGCTTGGAAAAATTTGAAATAGTAATGAAATTTTATAGGCTTCTTTACTACATATTCCCTTGTTTCCTCTCCATTTACTTCGTCCTTTAGTTTTCTAAAAGTGGTGGTATGATGCTTTGTTTATGATATTACTAGAACTGAAGAATTTTTTTTCAACTTTATAATTCAGAAAGCATGCCATATATGCACAACAAGGCATTCTGGAAATGATGTATCTTTCGTATAACATTATCATAGAATAAATTTATTAATCTGTCTTAATTTTTTTACAAAGACAAAACTTTTGCCTTCAAAGCAAATAATGCCAAATACTTAGATTTACAAGTATGTAGAGTTGATTATAAAACATTGGAATAAGTGAGGTATTTGTGGAAAGGGTATGTTTAGGTGTGGTGTTAATAATGATTAAAAACAACTTAATAATTAACAATTATTTACTGAGCACATACTAAATCCCAGGGAGTGTGCTAAGCATTCAGGTTATAGGAGAAAGAATACTTAGTCTCTTTTTTCCTTGAGTTCATAGTTGGGGGAGGTAGGTGGGTAAATAGGATAATAAAGTATATTATAAGTGCTCTGGAGGACATGTAGAATACCTAACTTGGACTGAGAAAAAGGAGAGGAGCCTTGGGAAGCTTCTCCTGAGGGGGACGTTTAACCTGTGTGATGAAGGAAGTGTAAAAGATGAGGGCATAATAGACCATGGAAGCCATTACAGAGAACGGGGAGACTATTCCTTCAAATCTGCTCTCACTGCTTCTGTGCAACTAGTTCTCATGATTTACACATAGTGCTAAGAAGAGACTGGAGAAGTTAGACAAAGGTCTGATTTTTTTTTAAGGTTGTGGCTCTTGTTTTTTTGTAAAAATAATAGGAAATGGGAAATTATTGAAAATTTTTAAGTAAAGCAACAACATAACGATCATATTTGATTGTTAGGTTTTGGCTAAGAGTTTACCAGAAGAGAATGGATTGGCTGACTGTGGTTGAGATAAAAAGCATGGAATGAATTAAGAGATTACTATGAGGAGTAGAATTGATGTGACCAAGGAAAGTTGACAGGAGGAATCAGAGATGACTAACAAATTTCTGAGCAGGTTTGTGGATGGCAGAGGATAAAGAATAAAGGAAAACAGCAGAATTTTGTAGTTATGGTGTTGGTTATTTTAGGGAATGGGAGATGATAAAATGAGTTTTTGGAATCTGTTTTTGAATATGTTTATTTTATTTTTTTAAAGATTTTATTTATTTGACAGAGAGAGACAGTGAGAGAGGGAACACAAGCAGGGGGAGTGGGAGAGGGAGAAGCAGGCTTTCCGCAGAGCAGGGAGCCCAGTGCGGGGCTCGATCCCAGGACCCTGAGATCATGACCTGAGCTGAAGGCAGTCGCTTACCGACTGAGCCACCCAGGTGCCCCTGTTTTAAATATGTTTAATTGGAGGTACCCTAGGAGCATCCAAGTAGAGATATCCAATAATACTGGGCTATGTGAGAGAGGGATCTGTAGATGAAACATACAGATTTGAAATTAATTAGCACATGATGGGAGTTTACCCCAAGGGATGGATAAACTCACCAAGGAAATGTATACTTTAAAATGAGAAGAAAAAAGGACCAAGAATAAACTTTGGGGAACATAACATTTAAAACCTGGGCAGAGAAAAAGAAAGTAAAATAAGAATTGGAAAGTGTTTATTTTATTTAGTAATACTGTTTTGCAGGCTTTGTTAAAGGAAGATTTGATGGAGTAGTAAACTGAAAAGTCAAATAATTGTATTTAGAATTGAATGGCAAGTGAAGTTGAATATTCCATAAAAGTAGACCACTTTACATTTTAGAAAGCTTTGCTATGAAGGGGGTTAGAGGGAGATGACAGACGTTTAAGGGAGGAGTTTTGTTGTTAGAGAAAACAAGGCACTGGAAAATAATTCTAGGCAATTGTTAAAGAAAAGGATCTAAATGAGACAGAAGGAATGTCAGTCGTAGCACAGGAGAAGGATCAGTATTTGAAAGGCTGGGGGGACAATTCAATGGCTAAACAGTATAAATGAAAATAAGCTCTTTTCCCTCCTTTCTGCCATTAAATCGTGGAGTCCTTAAGACCATTTTCTCTTTTTAGTCCATATCCTTACTTTTATCCAGTCCGATTACCTCAGTTACCATTTATATATCAATGACGAACATGTATAGTCCAGGTCACTTCTCTGACCTCCAGAATTATAAATTCAGATATTTACCAGTTTCTTGAAATTCTTAGTGGGGCTTCAAACTCAATGCCGCAGACTGAACTTCCTCTTGTGTTTTGTATCTCAGGGAATGATAGGACCATTTTCAGAATTAGTTGCCTAAGACAAGGAACCTCACTACCCTCAGGTCCTCTCTCAAGCATCATTCTTCCATGTCCGTTACATTACCAAGACCTATGGAGTTTACTTCTTAAGAGCTTTCTAATCCATTCTGAGACTATAGCCCTCATCTTAGTTCACCTGCAGTATATTCTTCATTCAAGAGCCATCCTAATCCTTTCAAAATAGAGGTTTGATAATATAAAAACAATACTTATTAAGCACTTGCATGTAGTTCCCTCCGTTTGCCTCTCTAGCCACATCACTCTGTAAATTTCCTCTCTGCACTCTAGCATTTATTCATTCTCCTGTACTCTAGCATTTACTTATTCTCTCATGTTCTCTTCCTCCAAAAGGCCACTAGTTAACTTCTGCTTAACTTTCAAATCTCAATTCAGCCTACACATTCTCAGTAAAGCCATCTCTCCTTGCTATCAAGATGAAATCAGCTCCAGGGCACCTGGGTGGCTCAGCTGGTTGAGTGCCTGACTCTTGATTTCGGCTCAGGTCATGATCTCAGGATTGTGAGATTGAGCCCTGTTTCAGGCTCCATGTCTAGCATGGAGCTTAAGATTCTCTCTCTTCCCTCTCCCTTTGCCCCTCCTGTCCCACACGTGTGCACACTTGCTCCCTCTCTCTCAAAAAAAAAAAAAAAACAGCTCCTATATATCAACAACGAATGAGTGGAATTGGAAATTAAAAACACAATGTCATTTACATTAGTATCCAAAAAATTAAATATTTAGGCATAAATCTAAAAAAAGATACGTACAAGATCTATATAAGGAAAACTACAAAATACAAAATTCTGATGAACATAATCAAAGACTAAATAAATGGAAAGATATTCCATGTTTATGGATAGGAGACTCAGTATCAAGATGTCAGTCTTCCCAAATTGATCTATAGATTCAAATGCCATCCCAATCAAAATCCCAGGCAGCTATTTTATGAATATTGACAAGCTGATTTTGAAGTTTATATGGAGAGGGAGGCAAAAGACCCAGAATAGCAAACACAATA